CTTTTGGAGGCTGCAGTGTTTATAAATAGTGATGGTTTTGATGCAGCAAGAGCAGTGGGCGCATCAGCACTGCAGAATTAATGCAGTTTGACGCCACTTTAACTGCCATGGCTCCATCCTACAGAAACCCGGGATTTGTAGTTTGGTGAGGCATCAGCATTCTTTGGCAGAGAGAAAATTAAAGACCTTGTAAAATCCCAGGATTCCATAGGATGGAGCTATGGATGTGGTGACAAACTGCATTATTTCGACAGTGTAGATGCACTCAATGTTAACCCTTCTGGAAAGGTAAAAAAGTTACTTTTTATACCAAATAAGTCAATGGTCCCATATCTCCCTGCTGTTATCTATTATATTTTGCAGTGGTTCCCAAACTTTGGTCCTCCAGATGTTTTGAACTTCATCTCCCAGAATTCCTGACTGCTGCTCAAGCTGGCAGGGACTTCTGGGAGTTGAAGTCCGAAATACCCCGGAGGACTAAAGTTTAGGAATCTTTGCTTTAGTGGGAGTCACTCTCCACAGTTTTGTTCCTTTCTGCTCCTCATCTTCCAAGCAAGACCCAAGATTTAAAAAGCTAAAAACTCAGTACTGTGCAGTCTTAAAGAACAATTAAAAGCCGTAGGATAACATTGGAGGAAGTTTTTAAGCTGGCATTTCTCTCTATACTAACTAGCTGGTGATGCCAGGATTTGAACCTGGGACCTTTTGCATGCAAAGCAGGTGCCCTGGCACAAAGCTGCAGATGGCCCTTGCCCAGGATTTGAACCTGGGACCTTGTGCATGCAAAGTGAGTACCTGGCACAACGCTGCAGATGGCCCTTGCTCAGGATTTGAACCTGGGACCTTTTGCATGCAAAGCAGGTGCCCTGGTACAAAGTTGCAGATGGCCCTTGTTCAGGATTTGAACCTGGGACCTTTTGCATGCAAAGTGATGGCCCTCTCTGAGTGCTTCAACTCTCTTCCATCATAACTGGGTTTTGGGGTGAGACAAACGTCCAGGGATACCTTAACTCCAAACCACTCTGCTTTCCAAAGGAGAGTGTGGATCCACACAGCAAAAATGTAGCAGTTTCATACCACTTTAACTGCCATGGCTCCGTCCCATGAAATCCTGGGATTTGTTTGCTGAACTACAGCATTAGAGCCTTCTGGCAGAGAATTCTGACTCCCCCTTGCCAAACTACAAGTCTCAGGATTCTGTAGGAGGGTACCATGGAAGTTAAAGTGGTATCAAAGTGCTTTAATTGCATGGTATGGATATGTCCTCAAGTGAGTTGGGCTGGAGGCATGGCATCCTTCCAATATATGGGGACAACCCATTTTGGATGAGTTTTGCAAGCTCTGGGCACTGCTGGGGTGGACATCAATGAAGGTGCCGAAGTCCAGTTTGACACCACTTTAGCCGCTGTGGCTCAATGCTATGGAATTCTAGGATTTGTAGTTTCGTGAGACATTTAGTCTTCTCTGTCAGAGAGCTCTGGTGCCTCAAACAAACTGCACTACCCCAATTTCCATAGCATTGAGCCCTGGAAGCTAAAGTGGTGTCAAACTGGATTATGTCTGCAGGGCGGATGCAATGCAAAATAGGATGCCCCTTATGGATATAGGCTGACAATACAGTACCATATTTTCCCCATATTTCTAGACCGTCCTGTCGTTTTAATACAAATGTCAATTTTGTCCCGCTTTCTAGAAAAATGCCCTGTTATGCTTCCGAAATGATTTGAAGACCCCAGTTTGAAATTGTGGTTGTCAAAAGTGAAAACAAAACAACAAAGTTGTGTCACAGAGTGTGAGACATTTTATGATAAGGTGTTGAAAAACCAAAATTTGCTGCGTCAGATGACTTCGTCAGATAAATGTTCATGGTACTATTGCGGTGAAATACAGTTCCCCTCTACATCTACCTAAACATTTGTATGAGTTCTGTTACTGAAGAATAATTTTAGCTCAGTATGTTCTTGCAATAATAATAATAATAATAATAATAATAATAATTTTTATTTGTATTTTCCCGCCTCTCCCTATGGATCGAGGCAGAATTACAGAGAAATATAGAAAGATACAATATATAAAATACTGTTTTAAGGGGGAGGGAGGAGGGATTAGGGTTGAGATTGTTTTTACATTGTCTATTTTAACTTATGTAACCCGCCTCGATTGCCGAGCAGAGAGGCGGGATATAAATAAATATTATTATTATTATTATTATTATTATTAATATATAAAATCATAACAATAATAAAAAACGTTTGTATTCGTCTTCCTTTTTCGTGAATGCGGGATATTACCTAACCCCACCCCATTTTTGCCATCCCAATGTCCCATTTTTGTGCTAGGGAATTCTAGGAACTGTAGTTTTGTAAGACATCTAGCCTTCTCTGTCAGAGGGCTCTGGTGCCACAATAAACTAC